ACTTTTGTTCTGAGAGACTCGAAAATGAGCATGTATCTGTACTGCTCATTTTAATGATCGTGTTTCGTAAAGCATGAGGATTTTCCATCGTAGTGGTTGCACTGCAGTAGAGAGGCTTAGCTCAGCCCTTGCTTAGTTCTGTATATCTTAATAAGAAACATTTGTGTTTTAATTCTTCCGTTGTGCATGTGTATGTTTTAGGAGAGCTAGCTGGATAATCACAGCAAGGCGTGGTGACCCTTCTTACACAGCACTGTGCCATATAGGTGACATCCAGGTGAGGAATTACAGCAGCAGCATTCGGTTCCCAAGCTGCAGGCCACCTTCAGGCTTCCCAAAGTGGGATCCCAGTGTTGGGACCCCATTTCTGTAATCCAGAATGCTGTCAGTGCAGGTGAGAGATTGTGTTTCTGGAGACACGACTCTCCTCTTCCACACAAAGGCACTGCTGCGAGCCATGGACACATCTGGTGGGACCAGCGCTTCACTGAACTTGAGTCTCACTGTCTTCCTTTCATTTCTCATGCAGGCTGACATGAAATGCTATCCAGAACAAAAGGTTGAGCACTATTGACTTTACAAGCCTCATATTAATACAATTTTATCAAAACAATATGATGTGGTAGTCCTATCTAGTGTGACAATTTCACAAATATACCCAAAATGCTGATGGTCTCATGCTGTGAGCTCCAGTTTAGCAGTCATTTTGGTGAAGAACCATCTTTAAGCTATTTACCTTATCTTTTAGCAAGAGTTTCAGGTAGCATCATGTTAACACCACTATGCAGCTTCCAAACTGAGCTCACTTAAATGCAGCCAGTTCCGAGTGTGGGCAGAAGGGCACCTTAATCTGGTCCTCTGTCTTCTTAGTGTCTGCAGCGTGCCCAGCTTTGCTGTTGATGCAGAGCAGAGAAGTAGATTGAGTTAAGCTGCCTGAATATGGCCAAATTGTCACAAAGGGAATTAAGAATCGGTTACTTGCACACTGTAAAACACCCAGACTTCCTATGTAAACAAGGCCAACACTAGTAAAAAAAAAAGGAATGAATTTTACTTTTACTAATAAGCAGGGCAATTCATTTAATGGCCCAATGATGCACTATTAACATAACTGGATATTTTAAGCTGATCCAGTCGTAAAAAAAGGAAGAAAAAAAAAAAGAAATAATGTTCTTGGCCTTGTAAAGCATAGCTTTACACACGCATCTTTTCTCATACCTCAAGATGAATATCCTCCCTATTCCCTACAAAAAAAAAGTAATTTTCAATTACCCTTCTTTTGTTTGACTAATGAGACAAGGTAATGCTTCAGTTAAGGTAAATTAATATTCAAATAGCTGAGAAGAAAGATAAATCAATCTAAGATTTCTTAGTGGTGCATTTTCTCTGTCTTTGTTTGGGAAGAGCTCGAAGTCTTAAAGCTGTAAGATTTAGGAGAGTCCCAACAATAATGCAGACAAAATTTAACGTCACTCATACAAAGAAAAGCATGAACATAAACTTCCCACACTGCCCTATTCCCATGGTGTTTAGGCCCTTCAAATACTTGTAGACATTTACCATATTCTCCCTTAGTCATCATTTGGCTAAGCTTACATGTACTTAGGCATTTTAGTCTTTCCTCATAAATCAAACTCTGCAACCCGTGATTACTTTTGTTACTTTTATCTGAAGCTTTGCCAGTTTGATGACATCTTTCTGGGATCAAGGTTTATTAAAATTTGCAGACAGAACTGTAATCATTGCTGCTTCTAGGATCAGTCCCAAAGCTAGAGACCATGGTGCTTAAGAAGAAGATGGTGAAAGTTTGAGGTGCAGGGAGAGGAGTGAAAATTATGCTGTTTTGGGCACAGACTGGTTCAGACCAAAGGGAATTGTTCCCTTCCTCTATAATTAATTTTGTGTGTCGGTAATGCATTGATCGAGTCAGAAACTTTGCTAATATTGCAGTCTGTTTGTTAGTCCTTGAGATGAGGGACACAGTATGTGGAGAAGAATTAAAAGCAAAGAAACGTCCTAGTGGAATGGGAGGTGGAAATAAGTAAAGCTCACACTTTCCCCACCTCAGTCTCTGCTACTGCATCCTTGGACTGGAAACTCTCAACTCCTTTTGGACCAAGAAGCACCAACTGAGAACTTCTGTGAGGAAAGAAAAAGTGGTGCTGGTCTAAAACAAACCTTCAATATAATTAGAAAATGAGTGCATGCAAGGAATGAAGGTGACGTCATCTGGATACAAGCAGAGGAGCAGAGCGCACATCTAATTCATACTGGCTTGGATAAATGCCTGCGGACTGAAAGCTTGCTAAGCCTCAGGGCAAAGCAAAATGATAAATGGCAAAAAACAGCCTTGGAGAGGAAAGGGGGAATCGCAGAGCTTGGTCAGATTGGTGGCAAGCTTTGTTGGGAGGGGAAGTGTAGCGAGTATTCAACACCCTGCAGAAAAGGCCTGAAGCCAGACCTAGGACTCTCCCTCCATTGACCTTCAGTATTGAAATGGATCTGATGGGACCACAGCAATTTCTAGGAAGACATGGTATAATTTTCCTCAAGAAAAAAAATGTTGAAAACATTCCTTTTAAATTTTTACATTTCCTATCGTTTTGGATAATTGGCAAAGTGGATTTACCTGCAGGGTGTAGGCTTTCTGATTTTCTCTTTGAGTATGAACTACATTTTTTCACTGCTTTCTTCTGAGTGAAGGGACATCTCAAGTCTTATCCACAATCTAGAAAGCAAGGTAAAACAAAGTATGATACACGTTGCTCATCCAGACTTCTCTTTCAATCCTACAGTTTACAGACACTTTCCTTGCTGTGAGAAATTGCTGAAGTTAAACTTGATCACATTTGCCCACTGGATTACCAGGAAAATATGGGGAAAAAAAAAATCAATGCAGAGAAAAGTTACTTTTTCTTTCCAAACCCAGTAAAATTACAATCTGTCACTGAGAGAGTGTTTCTAAAATACATTGTCAGATGTTGCTCATTTCCATGCGAAACAGGATCTCCTTTGCCAAGTATGCATGGCGTGTTTGTTCCATGCTATGCATAGTGCTTATGGTGGGTTGCTATCATTGGTCAAATGAAAAATGAAGGCTCCGTTCCAAACTCTTAGTAACTGTTGTTCTGAATATGTGGAATCTCAAGGGAGAAAAACCCCAAGGCTATCCTTTTTTAAGAAACCACAAGGCCCCATAATGACCATTCAAGGTAATAAAATGTAGTGGTTTCTTATAAGCAATTTCATTAATTGTCCTTGAGTAATTTACATTACAACGATAAACACATTGTTAATAAGTGGAAAGTAAAATTTTGCTTTCAAATTTGTCCGAAAAATAGCTTTGTAAGGTAGGCAAATAGGGCTGTGTCCATCCTGGTCAGGTAAACCATCGTGGGATTACCAGGGCACATTAGCATGCTCCCAGCCACAATTTTGGCTAATAGTGGCAAGCGCTCTTCCAGACGATGCTAGGACCTGGATTCAAATGATAGACAACCTTGGCTTATTTGAATTACCAGTAAAAACATAGTCTAAAGGATACAGTGGCTCCCTTTCCCTTGGGGAGTGCTGTGCTCCCCTCTACCTTCAGCATCTTGCACTCAGCATTTGGAGGCAGAATTATTCACTTTCATGAGGACTGTATCTCCTTTAAAATGACTGTCCTGGCTGGCTTGCTGGTATGTGTCTCGAGAGTGAGTGATGTGGACTAAATGGCAGTTTTGAGCCTCCTCCAAGTGACGAGGATGTTGAACCCAGTTTTCTCCCCTTCCGGGAAGTCCTGCAATCAGGAGGCAGTGAGATGAAAGGAAAAAGCCAATATCCTTCCCGTGAAATAACGCTGTTGTCTAATGTGTGATGAGCCTGATTCTGCTGTGTGAGGCACATCCAAGCGTTCCTTTCCTCTCCTTAGCAGCTTTGGGGGACCTCGTTTCTGGATGCAGGGGGTGCTTCAGCAGTCACCAGGGTGCTCAGGATGGGGCTACTGGGGTGGGCCTGGAAGGAGAGCTGTGCCTTGGGAGCTTCACGTCAAAAGCTCAGTTGGGGAGGAGAGGGTTAGATTGCAGGGCTGGTGCCAGGTTTCAAGGAAAGCTTTGCAGAAGAGGTGAGTCTATGTTTAAAAATTGCAATTTGTAATACTCATTGCACAGAATCTGTCCCTGTTAGACGGTGTGTGCTTAACACATCAGAAACAGAGAACCATAACTGATACTATGGAAATGCTTGAATGAGAGTTAGTCCACAATTATCAGAAGAATTTTACAGGATATTCCTTTCTAATTCACACATTTATCTTTTCTGCCTGTTTTATTATTAGTAATTGTTAGGCAATTGTTATCTTAACTTCGTTCCAATTCTTTATGTTGGTACTCTCCCCTTTCTCTCTCTCTCTCTCTCTCTTTTTTTTTTTTTTAATACTGAATCATGAAAACATCAAATAGAAGCATCGTTCTTGGCATTAAAAAAAAAAAAAAGTGTTACCCAGCTTGGGCTGCTGATATGAGTCTATCCCCATGGATAAGCACATTTTGGATTTAAGAATTTAGCAGTGTGCTCTCTCCTTTGTTACGAGGCTGCTACTAGTGGACCACTGTGGCAGCCACCTCTCATTAAAGATCAAGGCAAAACAAATCCAACTCTGAAATTACATTGTTATCAATCTCTTTAAAGTCCTGGAATAGCTTAAATTTGTCTTGGCGTGCTCTGTCATCAAACACCATGTATAAACACATCATTTTCCTGAGGACCACAGCTTCTGCTCAGTTGGAACTATATTGAAAAGATTTTTTTTTCAAAAGTTACTACTGCTGTCAATAATTTTATTTCCCAGCTACTCTGAGCTCATTTGGTTTTGATGCAGTCTTTTCCAGAACCAATTTGGGAATTTAAATGCAAATCCTAATGCATTATTTTGTGGTTTGTTTTAAAACTTAGGAAGGGCAGAAATATTCCTGTGCACAGAGGAGCTTAATGATACCTTTTGTATTTTCATTTTCAAGAGGCATTTGTCCCCTGAAGAGTTCCAGGAAGTCTTCAAAATGAGCATTGAGGAATTTGATCGTCTGGCACTTTGGAAGCGGAATGACCTGAAGAAAAAGGCCCTGCTTTTCTAGCCCCTCCCGGATAAAATATGTGCTTAATGAAAACAAAAAAAAAAATAGTCTTGCCAGAACTATCACATGCACTTGCTGTTGAGCCATTGTCCAGCTTCATTGTGTTAGTATGTGTCGGGGGAAACAGGACAGATTAGATGGCAATGCGTTGGAATACGGAGAATTTGCTAATCTTGCATGACCAGATGGTTTTGTCAGTAACTCCTGGTCCTACCTAGTTTACAACGTGCAAAAAGTCTAGCTTTAAATTTATCGTTGCTCGCAGTTATTGCTTGATGCAAACGGAAATTATGAAAGGAAGAGAAAAAGTGTAGCTGTGACAAAGGAAATGCATCCAACATTTTGTTCCATTAAGTTTTACAACACAATTTTTACAAAATCAAGTAAGTAATGAATATAAAATTCTCCAACAGGGGATCACATGCTATTAAAAACATGGTAAAAGCCAAAGAAAAGCATGTCCGCAAGCAAATATTGCAATTGTTTGTGTGTGGTACTTTTTAAGAATGAAAGCAAAAATACGGAAGCACCTTAATTCTACTTCTTATTCTTTAGACACAGCCTACTCTCTAAAAGGTCCTATTTGTCTAGAAGGTAACTAGCTATCTTTAATTACAACACAAGAGTTTTTATTTTATTAAGAATATATTGTGACATAAAACAGTTATAATGACAAAAATGTATACAGACCTACTCAAAAATTTCGTCCCGTTCATCAGGAAAACTGAAGCCTTATACAAAACTGGTTTAAGAGTGTATTGTGCCAGTTAACTGTGTTTTCCTACTAGTTTGGGGTGTTTGGAGAACTTTTTTTTTTACATTTCATGCTGATAAAAATACCATGTAATCTTAATTGTATGTAGATAGATATATCTATCTATAAAATAATTATTTTCATTAATAGTTATGTGCTAAGTAAAGACATTCTTACTTTCTCCACTTTCTGGCTTTACACAGTAAGCCACAAGAACTGTGATGGCAATTGGTAGGTGTGGAAATGGAACAGTTCAGCATAAAATGTAAGAAAAAAAGCTTGGTGTGCTCTATCAATAATACATCCAATTATAATCAAATATATAAAACCCTCATGCATTACTATTTGCATGTTTCTGTACAAATCGATTTTAAAAAAAAAACTATGTGATACTGGTGCAGTACCTTGAAACTATCTTAAATAACAAGCAAAGCTAACAAAATCCAAGCGTTTGATATGAGCGTTAGATCTTAATATCTCTTCCAGCTGAAGGACTGTATTAAATTTAATAATTTCATATGGTCAGAAGTATGGTTGCTGACAAAGAATGTTTTAAAGTGAGTTGCTAGTTTTGTGTGATACTAAAAGAGCATTACAAAAAGTACATTTTTCAGCCATGTGTCAGTATTCTGCATTTTTACTGCCTTGAATGTTTGTACTCACTTCCTACTTCACTATGTCTTTTTGCATTTCCTTAAAGTACCTGGTTGATATATGCACTACAACACACTGTTTCAACTGACCCAGCATTGGAAAAACCATAGCATTGAACATGCCTTCTTCCAACTAACTCTCAAAATCCATGCTGTTGGAAATAAATATTTTCTCATGACCTAAATGTTTTGTCTGATGATACAAATGTTTAAAGAATTCATTAAAACAAAGACATAACTGAATGACTTTGCTAATGTGTGTATAATTTTTAGATTGGACTGCTGCTCTGGATAGGGTCTTCCCATGATATTAATGTAAATAATAAGTAATTTGCATTAGTTTGGCTCCATGAGGAGAGTGTTAAGTGTACCTCCGAATGTCAAGTTACTGTAAAGTTCATCATGATTTAAACAATCCATCTAGCAACGGGCACATCTCACCAAGCAAAAGCTGCTTCGCTGGTGATGTTCAGTGACAGAACCATTAGCCAGTTATGAGAGCTCCTGATCACCTGTAGACTGCATCCATAATGCTCTTCAGCTTCAGAATAGCTTCCTGTGTTTTGCCTACATGTGAAAACTGGCAGCGCACTGAAATAGGCCAATCTAAAACGTGATCAGCAAGGTCAAGTGGTACTATGAAAATCTACATCCAGGAAAACAATTGGTTGGAGAACGATGATGATGAACTTTGACATTGGTAAAGACCACTCTTTTCAACTGCACCTTCCTGGGACATCAGATTGATTACAGGCATCTTCTCCCTGAGTAAAAAAATTGCAGGTTGATCAGAGAAATCCATATACTGGTACAGATTAGGTTCAATGTGGATCTTTGTAACTAGTTTGAGAATTGCTTAACCACAGCAGCTGTTGTACCGGTGTAGGATTCAACCTATGCTGGAAGGAAAATGTGCGTTACTAAGCAACACGTGATCAACAGCTCCATGCTGCTGTACTGTGTTATGCAGATGTAGAGCTGGTGACAAGTGGGGAGAGTGAGAGCATGTGAGCTCTGGTTGACCCATTTATGCTGTTTTGAGCCTGTTAGTCTGTTATAATATAAACGGCCTTAAAAGTGTTTCCTGATGATCCTTGCCCTACCGGACTTAAATTGGATACAACTCATTTTACATACCTCCATGTAGACGGTTTAGCTCATGAGCATCGGTTCTTATCACAATGCAGAACTGTACCTAGGAGTGATACCCCATCATCTATCTGTGTTTGCTTACAAGTCAGTTTGTCATTCTGTGCTCCCTTTTATGGTCAGTTAAGAGAAAAAAACCCACTTGAATCACATCCTAACGTTCAAAACTAGTTATATGAATTGCATCTATCATATTTCTGTCCACTGAATATAAAGAAAGCTAATCCAACTGCAGAAGCGTGCATTGCAAGCTGTCTAATCTTAGATGAAATTAATTCTGCGCCTACAGTCTGTAAGTGAAAACAATAAGCCAGATTTTACCAAGCTGGTGGAATACCAGTCTTACAACCACTGGGAGTTCCTGGAGAATGTTACCAAATCACTTTCAAGCCATCAGGATGGTACTTTGAATTGCTCAGATCTCAGAAAACGCCTTAACACAGTAATTCTTTGTGTTCATTATACTATTCACCAAAGAGGCACATAATCAATGCCAAACACGCAAAAAAAATGTTTTAGAAGACAGTCAGTTTATCAACTTACGTTCCTACTACCAGCCAAAACCAAAAAGGAATTTTGGCTTCCATACACAAAACCTTTGCTGACATTAGATGAACAAGTACTCTTGTGTGTCCGTCTTACTTCGTTTTCCTGAAAGTTTGAAATGGTCTGTAGATGTCTGTTCTGTGCAAAGGTGGCATAACTCAATAAGCTGTTCTGTTTTTCAGATGGTACATGTCCGTGTATCACTCTATATTTAAAGCATCTACTGTCATATGGTGTAGGGACCTATTTAGTTATGTTTTCTAGCCAAACTAAATTCTCATTTACAATATGATATTGTATGCTGGATTTGGCACCAGCCAAATACACCAGTGTAAAAGGGCCATAAAGTGAGTAGTGTTGTAATTGACTTCACTGCTAAGTTTTCTGTACATCACCTAAAATCTATAAACTAGAATGTGGCATACCAGAGAACAGAACATTTCTGTTTCTAAAATTTATCTTATTTTTCCCATTTAAAACCTGAAATTTGGAGTTTTAGTCATCTAGTCGTCTTTCAGGAACTTAAGATTATCTTATTAAATGTGAACAGACTAACGTGCATAATCAATGTTCTGGTTTATTTCTAGTGTTCCATATGCTAATCTTAAATAGCATTATGAAATGGAAAATGCATTTCAGAGTAATTAGATAAATCTTTGCCAGAATATTCCATCTGATAGTGTGGTCCAGCGTTGGCAGTAACAAACTGAGTGTCTCAAGAAATGTTTTTGAGATAATACTCTTTCAAGTTACTAAGATACTGCTCCATAGGCCTGTTTTCAAGGAAATGCTGTCTTTCACCAGTTTGGTAAGTATGGATATGGCTGTGCAGCTCAAAAGGATCAATATAGCTCTTGAAGGAACCTATTTTGATATATGTATACAAGAAGCAAGGGAATTCTGTCAGAGATTTCATTTTCATGCTCAGACCTGAAGTGTATGTCTCAGCTGCTCATGACAACACTGATGTATGACCTAATTCTCACCTCATGTATTTTAAAAAAGGCATGTCTCAAACACAGCAATGAAAGAGCCAACTAATTTCATCATCATAGTCTTCGAGACAAAGGAACACATGGATTTTTGTGGTTGCTGAGGAATATCTGACCAACAATTCCAGATAAGAAACCAGGCGTGCCAGATTACCATTATAGCTGTCTAAGAAGGCTGGGCATTTTTGTCTGACCTTCTGCTATTTCTTTTCCTTGTGGTTGGGGGGTAGAACTCTGAAAACTGGAATTGCAGAAACAAGAAAATACGTAGTTGTGAGAAGCTACTTGGAATCTAATAACCATCTGAGACAAGATTAATTTTACATGAACAAAAAAGATACAGTTCAGACCAAGACAGATGCCTTTGCTTACATTCTTCATTTTGATGAGGAACCATCTATTTAGCATTTCCCAAGAGTGACCAAGCCAGATCATTAATTTCATTAGCCTTTTCACAGACCTTCAGGAGAATGCTGTTCTGCTATTTACAGATGAGCTAGGTGAGATCCCAGGCACTGCCATCTGTGTGGCGCATGGGCTTCAGGGTGTCCTTATATTCTCCTGTCCCTTTGACTCATGTGTGAGGAAAAGGGTTATGTTCTTCTAAGCTTCCTAAGATCTAGACCGACCCTTGACCAATGTGATTACTTGATAGCTCACAGGTGTGGCTACCATTTTTCAGATATCTTGAATATCTGAAAAAAACCCAAATGTTTTTCATATCACAATGGCAGACTGCAACCCTCTTGAACATGTAAAATGACAGTGGAGGCTTGCATTTCTTCTTCATATCCAGGCCGTCTCTGAGGTATGGCCAAATCCTCAAAGGTGCTGGCTCATGCTTTTGGAGTCTTTGTATCCCTTCTCACTTTTTCTGTTCTGTGAAAAGCCATATTAGAAAAGGTGGTACTCAGTAAAAATGCACGCTTTTGAAACATTAGATCTCAATCGTTTACTTCTCTGGTAATGAAGCATACACAGCAAATTGAATTTTGTTGGGTTATTGCAGCTGGTCATTATTCCCTCCTCACATCTCTGTGAGTTACAGCTAAGAGAAGTAAGTAGTTCTATGTTTTTCTAAGTGCCCTTTCGTTCATGATGTAGCACATTTTCTTCCTACCACCAGTGTTTGACATCTTGACGACTATGCATGCCGGATTTGTAAGTAGGTAGGTTCCTTTTTTTTTTTTTTTTTAAGTGGTTGAACAAATCTATGCAGTATTCAAGCAGTTTGGACCAGCCAGTAGGCCTTCTGTGACAGACTGCCCAACAGCAGCAGCTCCAGAGTGATCGGTAGGAAACTAAAAATGGACGAAAGCAACATGTCCCACATATCTAAATGTATAATGATTCAAGGCTTTAAGGAAGAGGTTTACTGTTTTAGCTATTATGTATCTACCATTTCTAAGGAGTCTGGATATCCTTGATTTCTTTTTCTGAATCTTGTTATGTTTGCATCCTGAATGATTTGCAGTTGACCTGTTTTCTCCATTTGCTATGATGCACTCCTTTATTAAATCCTCTAACTCCTTTCTCCACTAAAAATTGCAACATTTTCAATTTCTTTGAGATTAAAACCTTTCTTTGCCCTTGATAATTCTGCAAGCTCCTCTCAGCCCATTGTACCATGTATGCAGGA